CCTCACCTTTGTCTCTCCGGCAGGTCTCTGGGGGAGATGGCCCTTGCCCGCCGGAGGGGTTTCCCTCAGGCTTTGCAGCTCGCGGGTGACATTGGAGGGCATCAACAAGCCCGTCATAGACCGCATCATCCGAGTGGACCATGCCGGGGAGTACGGGGCAAACCGCATTTATGCGGGACAAATGGCCATCTTGGGTAGATCAAGCGTGGGACCGATTATCCAGGTTAGCGGGCCTAAAAGGGATTGCTGCTTCTCTCTTTAATTTGCATTTGGTTAACAATGGTCGAATGAAGTTGAAAGATCATAGCTTTCGTAGTAAAATAGCTGTCCATCTTTTTCTAAACACTTTCAAACGGGTTTATAAAGAGCGGCGGGGTTACTTGCTAAGGGAGTTACCAGTACTACAATTACTGTAGTATTGTCGCCAGGACTCTTTATTTTGCAGACACTTCTTTGATGTTGCCTTTTTAAAACTATCCTCATCTGCCCTTTTTCACCATTTCCTCTGCCATGTGAATAGTGTTACCTTTGCAACCAAAGTGTGAGCGGCCTGAGGTGTTTTGTTTTTCTTTGTGTTTATTATCTGTATTGGAAATGTTTAACTTTTCTGGCTTTATACTGCACTGTGATCTGGCTCTTTTGCAGCAAATGTGGAATCAAGAAAAAGACCACCTGAAAAAGTTCAATGAACTAATGGTTGCATACAGAGTTCGACCTACTGTTTTATTGCCTTTTTGGAATGTAGCAGGTTTTGTTTTAGGTGCGTTTGTATTATGACTATTATTGTTGTTTTGTGAGGTCTTCAAATGTGTAAATTATGTGTGTTGCTTCACATTTCATTGTTTTTATATGTTTGGTACCCCAATCACAGGGGCTGGAAGTGCTTTACTTGGAAAGAAAGGTGCAATGGCTTGCACAGTGGCAGTGGAAGAGAGTATATCGGATCACTACAATAGTCAGATCCGAACTCTTATGGAAGAAGATCCAGAAAAGTACAAAGAACTATTGCAGGTATTTAACTATGACTTAAAAAGTAGTTTAAAAAATTCATTGAGTTGTCTAATGTAACTTTAGTCTTTTAAAATAAATGCTCATAGAATTTACAGTAGATCTCTTTTTGTTCTATTACTTAAAATGTTGAAGTCAACAGAAACTTTAAGTTAAAGGGATGTTTTTTCCTTCAGCAGCACTGAATGGATCAAGAACCAAAATTAAAATGTATGTTGGATTAGCTTCAGCATGCTTTCAGTAATTCAGCATTTCCCTTTTGATTGAGAGAACTGTGCTTTAATTTTGATTACTTGTAATTGAAAGGAGGACTTCAGAGAGGGAACAAAAGGAGAAAATATGATTGTGTAGTAACATTTTGCTTCTGCTGGGTATGAATATATAGTTCTAGTCTTGAATACAGTTCAGCACATGTAAGGATCTAATGTTTGTTTAGTCCTACAAGAAAATTGTTTCCCAGGTATTTTAGGCATCAAACTGGGACACATTCCTGTAGGGTGCTTGTCAGAGACTGACCTGTTTCCACATGCAGCACATCGAGCTCATTTGTGCTCTGTTTGGAGGGAGCTTGCTTTAGAGTCCATGTGTTTGTTTCTACCTTTGCTTACTATCAGTATGTTCAGTTGTGGTTAGTTTAACATGTAGCCAAATCTGTTTACTCCAAATGTGTTGTCTTGTTACAGAAATAGTATCTGAAGTAACCCAGGTTGTGCTGACATGTGCACAAGGGAAATACTACCCCTGAAAATAAAGACTATAAACTGAGGAGGCACAAAGTAAAGAGGAAAACCTAAGCAGCAAGGTTGTTCACAGTGTCAATATGAGGAAGACTAGTGATGAAACCAAAAGTGATGTGAACCTGTTGGGTGGGGACACTGCTTGGGTGTCTGTAAACTCCGAGTGCTTTATTAAGCAATCCTAGTTACCTGCAGGCATCTCAAGAGAAAATTCTTTAAACCCTTTTGTCCCAGTTGAAAAACTAAAGGAGAAAAACAGCGTCTTTAGAGTATGCTAGAATGGACAAAAGCCCTGTTGACTTACAGGAAAACACCCTTACTGATTATCTGGCAAGGATGGGACCTTAATTTCATTATTTAAATTGTCAGATTAATTTGTATGTCTGAAACTAATTAGTGTTGCAAGTTACTATGACTATAGATTTTCTTGAAACAGTGAAAAACATGCTGATATATTAAACAGCAGCTTGGTTTTTAAAGACTCTTTTTGAGAATAATAAAAGAACTTTAGGTTTGTGGGATGTTGTAAATCATTCTCTTCTGAATCTCCAATTCAGCAAGGTCTTTGAGAAGCTTTTGAGAGACCTGAGCCTCAGATGCCTGTACTGGTGCATGCAAATGGTCAACAGCGTATAGTTTTGTATACTAGCTGCCTTGATTTCTCTGCCAAGTAGACTTACTAATTAACTGCTATTATTAAAGATAATAAAGCAATTTCGGGATGATGAACGGGAGCACCATGACATTGGGCTTGAGCATGATGCAGAAGCAGTAAGTACAATGTTAACTAATTGGCACTGTTAGCAAGGATGTAGATGTGATATTCTTGTCTTCCTTATCTACTGACTGTGATGTAGTTCTTTATTTGAGAAACAGAAAATAGGGTGCTTGATAATGTTTCCCAAAGATAAATATAAGAAAACACTGCATATTATAGCTTTCACTTTTCTAGAACAGAATTGAATCTGTTGGAACTCATCAAATGTTAAAGTGATTTTGTTTTCCTGAGAGGTGTCCTCTGCACAGTTTTTAGTTTTATTTTAAGTTTAGATTAAATATTTTTGAAGATAAGGCTAATAAGTGCTATCCATACAGCTGGGAACATGAGGCAATATCTTGGTAGACGAACACAACCATGTTAGGAAGTGTGAAATACTGAACTAAATTCTGTGCTCCTCTGTATGAGGAATGTATAACTTCTCTCCTTTTTTTCTCTTGACTTACATTTGTAAAGAAATGGAAACATTCTGCAAAGTTGATAATTTTAAATTTAGTTTTCTCTAAGGTAGATTAGACTACAAATATAGGTGGGTTTTGTTGTTTTTGTTTGTGTTTTGCTTTTTTTTTTTTTTGATAGTGCTTACTATTCCTTACCACAATCTGGTTCAAACAAAACACTTCCTTAGATGTAGTTAATCTTTTATTCTTTGTGTTACAGGCACCAGCTTACTCAGTTTTGAAGACAGCTATACAACTTGGATGCAAAGCTGCAATATTTTTATCAGAAAGAATTTAGTGATATTTTCCATAACATTTGTGGCAATAAACTGTGACACAAAAGTGTATGGAAATTGCGGAAGACTAATAGTTATTTTACTCAGCCTTTTAAAATTTTCTTCACGAAGCATCTGATTCAGCCATCCTTTGTCACATTGAGTACCTGTTCAAAAAGTCTGTATTAAAGTCAGTTGAGCTAAATGTGACTAAAGATGGCAGAATTGGGTTTGTAAGAGCTAAACCTCCTTATTCAGAGACTGTTCACAAGGTGGCAGCAAAATATGTATGTATATAGATGATTTATGTATATAATATGTGTCTGTACGTATACACACATAAAAATGATAAATACATTCTCTTTTGTCTTCAAATTTATGTGTACTTGAAATAAGCTGGAGCTCATCAGCTCATTTTAAAATGGTTAATACTGGCAAAGTAGGATATTTTTGACTTCTATTTTCAGGGTAAGTAAATGAAGTACTAGTAAGTATTTCTTTTCAGTCTGTCTTGAATAAAGATTGGTATTATAAGACTTTCATTTGAAGACTTGTTTGTGTTTTTTTGGGTTTGTTTTTTTTTTTTGGCTCAATTCTGAATTCTTTATTTAAAGAGAACTTATCTTTCTTTGGGTTTTTTTTTGTCATCATATTTGGTTTGGTGGTGGTTTTTTTTTTGGTCCTGAGTGTGTAAGGAATTGATCCCTGATATAAAGCAGGTGAGACAGCAACTTGGAGCACCTGTGGAATTGCACTTAATATTCTGTTAGAGCTTTCAAGTTTATCTTACTTTGCTTCTAGTCTTCAGTGGCTCTTGAACAGAGATGCTGTTGCTTTCTCCACATTTGAACAACTTCCTCATTCTTTCTGCTGACATCCTGGGATGGAGCAATAGCAATAAAAAAGATGAAGTTGTGCGTGTCTGTTCTGTTAAACACTAATCAAAGATGATAAAAGTACAGCAATGGAATTAGTGTGTCTTAAACTGGTAGGGATGAAAGGGACTTTGTGCAAGATTGCATCTTCTGCTCTTTATGTCTTAAGAACTTCCTGACCATTACATTCTCTTCCTATTACATTATTATGGAAAGGGGATAACTTCTGAATGCATGAGGATAATATAGAAGATGCTGGTATCTTGAGACAAACGTTTAAATTCTGTGTGAGAGACTTTTTATATATTTTTATAGATGAGAAGCATGATCTTTTGATTATATGTGGCAGGGCAGGGAAACCCTATGAATAATATTGTGGGTCAGATAGAAGGCACTTGCCCATGCTTTTCCCCTAATATGCATACTTCTAAAACTTTGGGGAGACACAGCTTGGTTAACTGCCATAAACTTAACTGCCGTAAACTAACTTTTGTTTCCCAGTTTTACAGGTTTTCCAGTTTCTACAGGTTTGTGGGTTTTGGTTTGGTTTGGTTTCAGGACAAGAGGGCATAGTCTCAAGCTGCACCAGGGGAGGTTCAGGTTAGAAATGAGGAGGCATTTCTTCACAGAAAGGGTTGTTCGGCATTGGAATGGGCTGCCCAGGGCAGTGGTGGAGTTGCCATCCCTGGAGGTGTTTGAGAAAAGACTGGACATGGCACTTAGTGCCATGGTCTAGTTGATATGGTGGTGTTAGGGCAAAGGTGGGACTCGATGATCCCAGATCCCACAAATCGATTCTGTGATTCTGTTTTTTTTTTTTTCTTACTAAGAATGGCTAAGCGTGACAGATCAGGGAGCAGAACTTCCTCATCTTGTTTTGTGGTTAAAAGCTATGATGTGTTAGAAGTCAATATTTCTTAGCCCAAGCGATGGGGTATAACTAATTGAAGAGGTCAGCAATGGATGTGAGTTGTAATGGGTATAAACCAAGTTGAAAAGGAAAGAATTGGAAATCAAGAAATAAAACAGTAGCAAGTATTGCCCGTTACTGTCATGAGGAATGGGGCCACCATTGGCAATCTTGACTTTTACCTTATATGGCAAAACTACACAGTTATCTTGAGGCCGGTTAAGTAATTTCATGAAGTTTTGCTGTGTGCTGGTTCCAGTTCTGTTGTGCTGGCCAAATGCTATGCACTGACTTTGTAGCTGCTTTGAGACCAGAGGAGGATAAGAAGTGTGGAGTAGCCATGAGGAATCAGAGACCTGTGGGAGCATCTTAAAGCATCTCAAATCCAAGCATCTGGGAGCTTGGTGAGGCTTCAGACGGTGTTTAATCCAGGTCTGTCTAAGCCTACCTTTTTGAGTAGCTCTGTTAGTGTTTGTAGGTACTAACTGGTGTGTAATTTGACATGAAAAACTTCTTGAAGAGGATTATTTACCCTTTTTTTGTGAAGGAACTTAGGCTGAAGGTTAGATCTTAATATAGAAACTTGTGTTCTGTTTGATTTATTATGACTGACACTTTGTACATTCTTCAAGAATAATTTCTATCACTCACACCATTGCAAGTGTGGCCTGGTTATAATCAAACTACTGATGTTCTTGATATTGTCCAAACAAAGTAGCGTTTGGTTCTCCATCTATGACTGGTTTGCACACCCGCTGGAATAACTTGACTCGAGGAATTCAGAGCTAAAACACAGGTTTCTCGGACTGCGTAATAAGAAGATAGCTCTAAGGGATTCTCATTCTACTTGCCTCGGACCCAGACAGTTGTGAGCAGCGTGCGTGTAAACCTGAGTTTACGAAAGCTACACCATATTAGACTTAACAAGGTATCTTCCCTAGCTTGACCAGTTCTCAGAACAAAAGTTACATCTGGCAGATTTCTTGCCTTAATTTCTCTAAAGCATTTGATATGCTGGCATGTGGAAAATTCCTAGGTAATTGGGGGAAGAGAAGAATCGGCACAAAAGAATAGTTAAAGTGGCTAAAGGGGTAACAAGTGGTGTTGAAAGAACATGCAGTGCAGCCGTGTAAGTCATGGACTTTAGTAATTCAGTAGAAAGCGGAAAAAAGATGGCTTGATGAATAGGCTGTTGTAAAGTCTTTAATAACAGGGGCAGCGTGGGATGGCATCTTTTAGAAGTCCATTATTAGAGCTGGGGAGGGAGGCGCACACTATGTTTTGACTCAAAGCTGGAAGTTGCACACCCAGGCATACAATGGTCTTGTGATACAAACTGGAAACCAAGCCAGACAGTTTCCTGGTCTCTTAGCCATGACATCAGGATTGAATGCTGGACAAGGCATCCGTAGGGGTTTCCTACATAGATGGTACTCGGCTGAAGCCTGGTGTTCTCCCAGGCAGCGGTTACAGAGATTCTCTGAAGATGTCTGCAGTGGTGTTCAACAGTTGTGGGATTTGCTGCTGACATAGAGAAGGGTTCATGTGATCCTTCCCCCTAGATGCGGGTGGCCTCCGAGACCATCGCACACTGCGCACTTGGGGCAACAACATTTAAGAGACAAATTTCATTTTTAATGCGTTTAGTTTGGCCAAAGGCTGGGAACATCAAATACCAGGAAATCACCATGTGAGGTCAGGGTGTTTGGCCGTATCTGCAAGTGAGCACTGTGAAAGTGCTCACAGTGAGTTCTTTGTCCTCAGCAGCTGAAAACATCCTGCACATTTGAGTAGGCCGTCAGACAGTAGTACTGTCTCTAGCTGTGAGCATAAAATATGAATCAGGAGAACAACTCTACTTTATGCTCCTGAGCAGGATTTATTCCTTCTGTTTAGTAGAGTAGCATATTTGCGGCCATCCATTAAAGTGTGGGTGAGCTGTTCTTCTGCCACTTCCAATGGCTGTGCCTTTCCCTGCTCACTGGCAGTTACTCTTTTTTTGTTGTTTTACATAGAAAATGGAATTGCTTTTCATTTTCCTCATGCAAAAGGGACATTTTTTGTTTAAAAACCTGTTTCAGATTTTTGAAAGACTACAAAAGGTGGCAGAAAGTTACAAAACGGCAAGAGATGCTCAAGTGCTGTACAGAACTATTGTACAGCTGCTGCAAGGCTGTAGTTTCTTTTACGTTGTTTTGAAGCAGAACTAAAGCTGACTGATGTCAGCCGTCCTGGCAGGGGTTAATGGCAGCGGGGGCCAAAGTATATAGCTTATACAAGTCTGTTATCATAGTGATTCTCAATGAACTCTGGTCATGTTGACAGAGGAAAAAGGAACTTGGATCAGACAGGGCGGCTGTGAAATGCTGCATTCTCAAAGCAGGGAGTGGGGAAGATGACAGGGTCTTCAGTGTGTCCTTGGGTTTTGGGGCTCCCTTCTGAACCATAAGATAAGCACACAATTGGAGTCACGTAACATGTAATGGGATGAAATCCTTCACCTCAAAGTAATGAGGGCTTCTTCTAGCTCCTGTGATAACCAAGGGCTTGATCCTGATATTTCTCCTCCAGAAGGAGAGAGAGTGTTATTTCTTGGTGAGGAGGAGCAGAGGTTATCCATCTGTGTGTGCGTAGGGCTATAGGGCTGTTATCTGCTCCTTGATCAGCATCTCAACTGTTTTCTCCTGCAATCAGTGCTGGAGATGGGCTGGCCCCTATTCTCCAAAGCTGCTCTGTGTCAGAGATTAAGGTAATGATGGTGCTTGGAGGTGAGTGACACGGCTAGATGGTGCAGTCCTTGTGCTGAGCATTGGGGCTTTTTCTGATGCTCTGACAGCTCTGAAGCAAGATCTCTGCACCGTCCGTAGGCACCGCGCTGGCTCGGGACGGGGAAAACCCAGCAAGGAAAGCAAACAGGCAATGGCAGCTCTGTCTCGTGAAGCAAGAAGGATGGTTATGGAAATTCAAAGCAGCTCTGAAGATCTGTGGCCTGTCAGTAACAGCTCTAGAAAGCTACCAGAGTGGCAAGGCACATGTGATGCCACAGCAGCATAGGTCTGGCTGTGCCAGTACATGTTTTGGCTTTTTGCTGCTGCAGCTAGGCTAGGCAAAAATCAAATCCCCATGGCTGTGATTAATGTGGTGATGCTGACATAAGCTGAATGGACTTGCGCCATGAGTTATGTAAAATGGGACTCATAAGATTGTTTGGCAGAGAGGTAAATCATTGTCTGAGGTGATAAATGTTGCAGATAGAAGAAATATCAGATCTAATGGGCTTAATCTTTGTCTGGAGTAAATCTGTGTGGCTCACTTGAGCATAATGGAGCTAGGCTTGCTACAGATCGACTGAGGATATGCCATACAATTCCTATGCTGGGGATGATGTGTACATCTCTTTTTTTCTTGGCATTCCAGGCATTATTTAATCTATACAGTCCCTTGCGTCTGCCTCATTTCTTGACTTTAGGGAAGACATGATTTCAAATGGTGTGTCAGTCGCTTTTTGTTACTAGCTTCAAAGTTATGGGATGTCACTTGCCTTGAATTCTGCATGTATTTTCAGTTTGGAGAGCTCAAAGGGATAAGTTGAAAATATTGGCCAGTTTAAAAGAGGAATGTGTGTGATAAGGGAGGAGATTGTTTAAAGGTACCATTTTTCTATTTGTTAATTCAGTTTCCCCAGAGTGGCTGAGACGAAAAATTTGCATAGATTTAGGAGAATAACAGCAGCTTTGCAGTTGTACTCCCA